TTCAGATGTGCTCAAAATCCAGCAAAGGCGGTGGATGTATTTCTGTTGATCTGAATCAGTGTTGATTTAGCCTAAGGTAACACAGATACTTAGAGCTGACAAAATTCCTCTCGCCTCTACCAGTTATATCAGTGGCAGGAAAACAATGTTAAGAACGTGGTTAGTCTCTGGATTATTTTAGCCATGAATGCATGGATCTGATTAGTACTTTAGTATTTTTCTGTTCTCTGCAAAGTCAAAAGGTAAGTCCTGCTGGGATGTGATCAGAGCAAGAAGTGTTTGCCAACTTTTGATTTGCCTACTTGCATACAGTATTTATGATGCTGTCTATGTGATTTCATTTTAAGTTACTTTATTCTTGAGTAAGAAAACAATTCCTTACGGCAAAAACAAAAAACAAAAAACAAAAACCAATTCAGGGTCTGTTAGGAGCATTCTTGACTTTCAAAAATCCGCGGTTCAGACAAGTTGTGTTACATTTCCACAGCATTCTCAAGCTATGCATAATATTCTCCTTCTTGACTCCGAGGTACTCATACAAGGGCGGTCAGGTCAGGGCGGTTCAATTCAAGTGGACTTCGGGACATTCAGAAGAACTTAAGGCTGTGCTGCTTAGTAAGGAACATGCTCACACGTCAAACTGCTGCTCCTCTCCTTGCTTAATTATTTCACGTGCTTATTTACTCTCTGGGTGTGAACAGTAATATTCACACAGGTTGTGTTTCCTGTCCTAAGTTGGTGACAGCATGCTGGGTCATGCTGCTATCTCAGCAGGATTTTCACTGTAAGACCACACATTCAGCAAACTATACTGGCACGCTTCTGCATTTCCAAGCTGTGTGTATGTATTCGAAGAGTTCAATTACATTCAGTATGTTTTCTCCAAGAAGAGTAGCTCTGTCCATTGGAAAGACTCAGATTTGAAGTTGCTGATGCGCTGAATTCTTTTGTACATGATGAGAATGAAACAGAAATAAAGCAAAAACATATCTAGCAAAAGGGAACTTTGGAACCCCCATCCAGTGTTCATTGATTTCTTGAGGACGTGGATTGAACACAGACTGGCTGTTTGCAGGCTCTATATTGCTCCTCACCTCTCCCTTTACTGGAAAGAGGAATCTTGTTGATTGCCTTCTCTTGCTGCCATGATCTAAGGACATGCTGACTTTGAAAGCAACTATACTTCAGCAGGGATGTCAAGGAGCAATCAAGTCGGGTGAACCAGAGATTGACTATACTCTTGCAGCTTAGTTGAAATTGTTATTTGCATACTTACTAAACTATTAGATAATTCCTTTAAAAAAATCTTTTGGAATCACTGCAAAATCACTGATTTTAGAATGCAACCTTTTTAGCCTTCACAGTGTCTACTACTGAGAAACTGATGAAGTTTTACTGGCACACAGGATAGTGGAGATATCTTTTGTTACTGTACAGGAAAGTCACAGATACAAATTGGATAAGAGTACGTTCTTTCTGCCATGTTTGTTTTGTTTTATTAGAAGCTGAGGGGATATTCTCTTATCTATGGTGTTGTGGAAAGATCATGTTTATGTCTGAACTAGTAATACAGAACAATTCAGATTGACAGGGACTTCAGAAGGTTATCTGCTTAGAGCAGGGCAAACTTCAGAGCTTGATCAGGTTGCTTTGGGTCTCATTCTGAGAATTTTTAAGTACCTCGAAGGTGTGTGCCAACAGCTGACCGCCCTCACTTTGAACACTCTCTTTAAGTATATCCAGTTGTGGTTGTCTCATAACTGCTGTGTCTCATCACTGTTCATGTTAGTCCTTTTGCTAGTCTCTGAGCAGAGCCTAGTCCTGCCTTCCCTGTCCACGATGCTGTGCACTCCTGCTTCCCAGCTAGCTCCAGCTGAGATCTCCCACGTGCTCAATAAAATGGAGTGTTTGGTTCGTTTGACCTGCTGCCTGCGCTCGTGTGAACTGTGCAGTGAGATGTCCTTACCCCAAGGGTGCACTGCAGATTCATGTTCATCCTTTGCTCTCTCTCTCTGATCAGCAGTTTCTTTCCCTTCGTTGTGGAGGAAGTTTGACCAGACTGATTATACCTCTTACAATGGGTCTGTCCATTGTCAGGATGGCTGTTGTCTACAGAACTTGTTTGCAGAGAGAGAAATCTGAGTTTGCTATTGGGCTGATTCCTATTATATACGAACAGAAGACAAAGTACCTTTCGTCCAGTGTACACAGTGTTTGTGAGTTTGCAAACTCAAATGATGTATAACTAGAGGCGGCCACATGTTGTGAACAGGGAAGTATTCAAAAGATTGAATGCTACTTGTGTGAGCTATTTTCACTGAGCTTTAGACCTATTTTGTAGCCTCCAGCAACATTTAAAGGCATTACATACTTTTCCCATCACTCAGATACATTTGTAACTGGTCAGTAACAGCTAGCTGGGATACTGTTAAGTAGAATAAAGCTGATTTTCCTTCCTGCAGGTTTCATCAGTGGAAGGTGGTTAGACTGCCACGAGGAGAGCTATCATACCAGATGCAATATTTTAAGATAGAGGAACATTTAATTAGCAATATTTCTAGAGTTAAACAAAAGTGAAGCTGTAGCCAAGCAGATTCTTTACTATTCTTTACATGGAACATATTTTTCATTAGGTTTATTCATGATTTTACCATTATGAATGGTAATAGAGAACAGAGAAATGATTTTAAATGTTCCTCCATATAGGAAACATATAGCTTCCTAAGCAAATAGGCTTTGTTTATTGATTTCTGATCACACGTATTTCTTCTTACTGCAATTTTAGGAATTCAAAGGCAGCTTTCTAACCCAAAGGCTCCTTGTTTTTCCAACCTACATTTTCCGACTTTGAGACACTATTAACTCTATGTCAATAATTTTAGCCAGCCTTTTTGGATAACAACAAAACCTAGATTCTATTTTCAACGTATGAAATCTCCATGCTGTGTAATCAGTTGACTATTACAGTCTTACTTTGCCACTGAGAAAATTTTGTAGTTTTGTGTTCTGAGAACTACCTGACAGAAGTGCCTATTTGTTTGGCTACCACAACTCATTTATTTGGGGGAACTTCTGCTGTAACCACTAGGTAGATGATGTATCCCACAAGCTTCCTTGTTTTCCAAGTACCTGAAGCAGATCTTTTGGCGTGTCATTGCAGATGACACTTCTTAGATTCCTGCAGTACCTGCTAAATATTCTTGCAACTAAAATCAGATTCTTTGTGCAGACCTTAAAAGATTTGTCAAAGGTGACTTGACTAATGAAGAATGCCATCCTCCTCTCCAGGTTGAAATCCTGAAGTCAGCTCTCAGTCAGTTCTGTTCCTGAGTCCTGCAGTACAAGGACCTATGAAAAATAATCCTAGTGTTAAAATACTAGAATACATCTTGTACTAAATGTGGAGGTTGGTGTCCTGCCAGTGGCAGGGAGGGTTTGCAGATTCATGATCCTTGAGATCCCTTCCAACCTGCGCCATTCTGTTTCTGTAACACACACTGAATTTTCTTCTAATTATTTCAGTAAAGACTTGGAAAAGGAGTAAGTCATGCTTCCCTGTGCATATTGGAGAGTATGGTCTGGGATTGGACCTTTGACAACAGAGCTTTTTGTCCATCTCTGACCTGTGTTTCCAGGAGTATGTTACAGTGTATAGGAGCATCAGGAGGGGATGTTTATTATCCTAACTGATAAAGCTATGTATTCATTTAAACACGTGTTGTTAAAGGCATTGCTGTCGATGTCAGTTACAGACTGGAAGTGTGGCCTTATTGTGCTTTTGATAGACTAAAACTGGCTTTGTGCTATTTCTGTCATGCGAGTTTTTCATCACGTAATTAGGATTCCAGAATTTAAACATATGGGCTTTCTGATTTATTTATGTTGTTAATGGTAGTGGGTGATTGGTTAACTTTTTTATCCTACTTTTTTTATTCTTCACACTTGGAATTCTAACAAAATTTTAAATAGTAGATAATGAATTAAGCAAGATGTTTGGCTGTACCAAATGTTGCAGCAATCTTCTGGGACTCAGAAATATTTCATGCACGTACAGAAGTCAGGCGTTGGTTAGAAACTTGTGTGGGTAGCAGGTCATAATTACTGAAGTGCAACATGAAAGACTTTAATGGATATGAGCTGTTTTCCAGAACAAAGGAGAGATGTACCAATCTATACCACTACTTGTTTTCTGCAAAAAATAATAAACTTCTTTAGCTTACTTCATGTCTTAAAATACACAGCTTTTTTTATCCTCCAAAAGAAATTTGACCTAATTCATAATAAACTTGTTAAAACAGGCTGGATTCTTTTGGACCTCCGCAAATTAATGCAGTACTTCTAGCAAAAGAAATAAGGTTGAAAATAATTTGTAAGCAATAGACATGAAAGCTAACAGAACATGGCAAAACCAAAGGCTAAGAATCCATCTTGCTGCAATTCATTTAAATGGATGGGAGTTTTTCAATTAACCTCATTGGAAAGAGGTTTGGATACTGGATAAAACATTCTGTTCTCATTCTAGCATTGCATCTGAATCCCAACTTTGGTATAGATAAAGCCTCCAACTCAGAAATTCAGCAGCAACCCCTGTATTTTTCCTCTGAACACTATGTAATATGCTGTCAGTTTGCCTCCAGGTAGGTTTTATACTATGTGCTGATTATAAAGTGCATCCCTGGTTTCAGTGGGACTTACCTGTACCAAAGTGTATTGCTGCTTATACTATACATCCACTTCCATCTGCTGAATTATATGCTGTTTTCATTTGTTTCCTTTCATCTCGATTATTTGTGTGTGGTTGTGGGTACATGTGATGCAATTCAACTGTATAGTCTGCACTTACAATTAGTTGATGCTTTGAACTGTGATGTTTAAATGCAGGATTAAGACATCACCACTATTTTGAATAGATGAAATAATTTTATTTCTGTGTTAATGCACTGCAGGTGACTGCAAATTCTTCCTGGTGCAGAAGGCTCACAAAATGTTCGGTGCAGAACTGTGGAAAAACCTTACTGTAGGATGTTATGAGAGCAGCCCTCTGCAGTTCTTCTCAGAAGTGGGGTACTCCTACGTGCTGTCCTCCCTACAGCAGAAAAAAACAGGTAAGGATGGACCTTGCATTATGAACCAAGCTTTGAGCTGCATCTCCAGTTTAATCACAGACTTTTTTCACTGCGGTTCACCAACAGGAAATAGGGGGTAGTACTTTCTTAAGTGGGATGAACATAGAATCATGGACTGGCTTGTCTGGGAAGGGATCTGAGAATCATCTAGTTCCAATCCATTTGCTGCAGGCAGGATTGCCAACGACTAAATCAAGAGCTAGATCAGAAGAAAGAGAATAGATTGAGAGAAAAAACAGACAGTGGAAGATGTGATCTAGAAGTAGCTCATTTATTTATTGAAACAGGAGAACTTGCAAGCTGTGTTATTATTACCTTTACAGATCATCTAGTGCTGTCTGCATTGCTGTGTGAGGTAGGTTGTGTGTGTGGAAGGAAATGCCCCCATGGATGTTCATGGATAGTTTCATATACATTTTATCTACTACTGAGTACATGCTGGTACATCATTAATGGCCATCCTGCACTACAGAGCCCTAGTGATTAAAAACTCTTTAATCACAATTTGTTTTTTGAGCTTTCTCTTTAAAACCCAAATCTAATTAATTTCAGATGTGAGTACAACCTATGGATGTGATTTTTTTCAATTTCAAGTATTAGATTCTTACTTGCAGGCCTTCATGGTAACCCAAGTCATTTAAAAATGCTGCTGATGCTCATGTACGTTGAACATTGCATGTAGAGGGGCTGATCGGAATATTTTGAAGGGGCTGGTGTGTATCTGTGCCAATATTTTATGATTGTAACTATTCGAGCTTCATAGGCCTGTGTTTTATTGGAGCAAATGTTATTAAAGATTGTGTGAAACAACTAGGCCAGGAGTCCTGTAAGACACTATAATTTGTCCACAAGATAATGCATGTGAAGTGTCCTAAAATATATTAGGAACATTAAAAAAGTGTTCATTACAACTTTATTGTCTTTTATTTCAAGACACACCTTGAGACAGATTTGTAGTTTGCTCTTACAGGTACCTGGGATTACTCAATAGCAGTCTTTCTGTCTGATAGACATGAAAAAAGCTTTAGCAGTAGAGGTATTGGAACTGCAGAGACTTTGAATATTAGGTTGAGATATTCCTTGTTCATACTTTTGTACTTGCAGTACATATTTTTTAGCATAGACAATTTGTTTTTTATGGAAATGGCTCTTCCGTGCAATATTCAAGGGCAGCAGTTTAGCACACAGTCTCCAAGGACCGAGATCCCTGTCTAAGTTTAGAGGTAATGAGGAAGTGAACATATCAGTTATATCAGGTGAGATTGCTCACAGTGCACACTGAAAACACAGAGTATATGACAAAGATAAACACTTGAAAAGGCTCTGCCAAGGTGATCCTTTGTTGGCAGCATTGCCATACCATCTAAGAGCTTTTCTCCACTGTGGGAGGTTTTTCCCCTGTTTTTCTGGTCTTGCAATAAACTCAGAGAAACCTCAGAAACAAACAGGCATAGAGCTATTAAAATATCTTTATCATCTCTTACGTAAGAAGCTTTCTGGAGATGCTGATATAAATGTGGGGATCAAACCGCTTGACAGGCTTATGAAATATGTCAAACTAAGTAATACACTTCCTTAGTACCATCCTCAGATGTGTTCTGAAAACTCACACATGGCCTGCAAAAATATCTTCTGCTCCTGTGCTTGATGAATTCTTATAAGGAAGGGAAAAATATGTGATGGACAAGTGGTTTGGAAGTGCTCAATGGTTATTAGATGTTATACTAATGTTGTTAGAACAGGCTGTTGTTTCTGGGATCATGTGAATGTATGTGTAGGAAAAAATATGTAAGAGCAGCACGTACTACGAGTAGTTTGAGATGGAGACGTTAAAAATAAAGTGGCAATTTGAAAGGGCATGTTTGCTTGCTGCTGAAGCTACAACCAAAGTTTTGTCAGAAAGTCATTAATGGCTGCATCTGAACCTGGCACAGCGATTCTGCGTTACAGGGAGTAGCTGCCTAACAGCATATTTTTCTAGGAGCCTACAAATCCATCTTGTCACTGGCTGCGACAGTATTACAGGGAGAGTATATTTCTTCTGTAGAAACGAGGTGTTGAGATCCCCTTACACGTTTACTAGATACTCTCCTGCAATGGTCTCACTCTCCATGAGGATCAGAGCAGAAAGGACTCTCCCTGCCTCTTGCAATGTCGGCACTATCCTGAAGGGCTGGATCCGACTTGCTCCACAGCAAGCTTGTGTCCTCTGGGGCATCTTATTCACAGGTAACAACCACACCATATAAAAGGGTTTCTGAGTTTTCTGTTAAGCATGTGGAGAGTATTGCCTTTCTAGTTCAAAGACTTTCTGTCTTTTGTATTTTGTTTATAGGATTTGCTATTTCTCCTGCTTTGTATTTTAGTCGCACCCAAGAGGATCTCAGTACAACATAGAGGAACAGTGCTACAGTTTTTCACGGGTCACTTTTTCATTTGTTTTTTCTTTCTTTGTTTCTTTGTTTTTTCCTTACAGACCCCAATTAAGACTATAGGTTTTCAGTTTCTTGTCAATTCATTGCTTTGTTTTAGATGCTTAACCCATTTCTATATGAGCAGCAAAACTTGTTATCTTTCCAAGGACCAGCTCTTGATATTAAAAAAGTTTGCATTTGCTTCGCTCCTTTGATACTAACTTTGCAGTACTGTACAGGTACCAGTTAATTAAGTTCTGCAGAACTGCTGTTACAGCATAAGCAGGGACTGGCAAATTGATAAATAGAGTGGGGGCATGATTTCCCTACATTCCTAATGGGATGAAGTCAGCACTGTGATGTTTTGCTTAGCCCCTTTATAGAGCTTTATGCAATGTAACATTCTCCTGTTCAGTGCTCCATTTTTCTAACTTGTATAAGATAGCATGGCTATGCACATTCCAGAGGTGATCATTGCCTTTGTGAGACACTTAGTAACAGCCATGGTATTTTCCTTACTTCTCCTTTATGGGTCCCTTTGACTTCCTAAGTTCAGCTTCGTATTTCTCCTATGCTTCTAGTGCCATAAAATATCTCTACTGATGTACTGCTGTGTTTTTTAATACCACATCTAGATTCTTGATCTTAGAATTCTCAACTCTACTGAAATCCCATATCTTCCTCACCACATTTCTGTGCCGTGTTTGCTTAGAAGGAATACTTAAAGCTGCAGCTCGTCATGGCTTCTCTGTTCACATTACAAGAAAGTTCCATATAAAACTGTGGAGGGTATTCTGTGCGTGTACATGCATGAATGCATATGTGTGCAGATATTAAATGTGTAAGGCTGTAAAAACGCCACCTGCTGAATTATGAGTCCATAGAATAATGGATAATAATTTCTCTACGATTCTCCTTATCATGAATTCAGTGGAACAAAGATTTGATGACTCCCAAAAAACCCTCCAAGCTGGGAGTAGACTTGAAGGTAGTGTTGACAAAAGATAGTTAGCTGATGTTAGGTCAGAGACATGCTCTGGAATTTTGCAGTCTAGGTTCAATTTTTGATTCTATTTCTCTGTCTAGAAACTAGCATTAATCCATTTCACCTCTTTAACAATCAGGCTGACTGGGAAAAAAACTGAGAAAACAAAAATAACTATGTACTGCAGTTCCTGAAACTGGCTCACCTGCCAAGATTCTCTGGAACTTTGTGATATATTTATTGCAAACACATTTTTATTTCATTAGCGAAAGGAAGATCAGGGAAATTGTGGAGGTAGTTTTGAAGGCTGCTTTTTTAGACGCTCTGTAACGGCCAGAAGTAACGCTGAACTAATTTAGACAGTCTTGTTGATCCTAGTAAAACTCAATGTGATGAACAGAATTTGGCCGAATGTTACACGCTTCACTTTTATTGTCAAATGACAGGCAAGCTTTCTGAAACCAAATCCTGCTGAAACAAATAGCATCACTGAAGCCAATGAATGAGGAGAATGAGGAACTGTGCAGGCAGCACAGTTTTGCCTGCTACTGGGAAATACACAATATAAATTTGTTTGCATGGTAATTAAAACATCAGAGTAATGCAATCGCAAACAACAACAAAGTAATTGACCTTTTTTTAAAGAAATTTGTGTCTGGACTGTTTGGATCTGTAAAATAAAGCTATGTTCCAGTGCAACTGGATGCAAAATTGCCAAAAATTATAGTTGAATAAATATCCTTATACTTAGATGTCTACAACCTGATGAATCCAACCATGTATTTAATTTCTATGAGTTGGAAGTTTCAGTCTGCTAGTTGTCAAATATCTAGTAATTCTAGGGCCAATCTTGGATACAAGCCAGAGTGGAAAAGTAATCTTGGGATATTTCAAGCTGCAGTCTTTGATACTGGATCTAAAACTGAATGGATTTATGGTTTTTAATTATACAAGAAAAATTCCAATCTTTGAAATCAATATGACTGAATTTTAAGCTCCTTTTGGGAGAGACTGATCTTCCGTCTGCTCTTCATGGCAGTGTTCACTTGAGCACTGTTCTGATTCAGACTGAAAGGCAAAGTCATGATGCAAATCTCTGTGATGTTTTTGGTGAAGACTGGTTATGATGCATGTCTTCCAGAACTGTTAAGCGTTTAAACATCTAAATAATTAATAATGGTCTTTTACCTCCCCTGGGATATATAAAAAATCCCAAGTACTATTTTGCATTAATCTTTGCTGATTAGACAAGGGCAGACAGTCCTTCATTAGTTCATACTGAACAAATCCACCAACTTTATATTTAAAAACAGAGACCACACAGATATATAAGCACAGCTACTTTTTTGGCTTCCTGTTACTTGCTCAGATACATAGTCCACTTTTATTTCATTTTTTTTTCTTAGTAACTTCTGGGAGCACTCTAGCCACATCAGTGACAAAACAGACATCAGACAAGTAACTCTATGCATTAGAGTCATGTCTGCTAGATTTAAGTGACCTTCAGTAGAGCTGATTAGCCACAGAATAATGTGCTGGAAATCTAACAGAAGTCACTTCTGCCTGATACCAATCAATCACTTTCTCCAAGTACAAATGCATAAATGCACGTTCACAGTGGAATGAGTTTGACCCATACTGCTATCAGAACAACAGTGAGAAACTATTGCCAGACTTCTAGATGAGAGAAAGAAAGTGCAAGCCAAATGCCAGAAAGAGAATTCACAGATGGGAATACATGTTGTTAAATGACACCATGGCATATGACCAGAAGAATCAGACAGCTTTCCATATCATAGAAGATGTGTTCAATACGATGATTGTCAGTACTTGTAATACAGAGCTGAAATATATAAAATAAAACAGCAAAATCCCAATGCTGTATTTTGGCAGCTCAGTTTAAAGAGCTTTGAAGACCACTGTTTCTATCAACACAACAGATAAAAATATCTGCTGCTTAATGAAGGCGAGCAAGAGCCTTGAAAAGAGTGCCCCTTTTTGGCCTAGGTAAAATAAGGCAGTTATGCCTATGCTAGAGTTTTCTACTAATGTTTTTGCTAAGAAAATATTTAAGTTTCATTACATGGAAAACACTTGTGTACTCTGAATCAGTGTTTTGTCCTTGTGATGTCAGTATTTCATCTCTCAAACTATCTGAATATAATGTAAATCAGATTCCACCTTGCTAGTCCGGCATACTCAAGGGAATAGGGATAATACGACATTTTTCTACTTTTGCAACTTGAGTTTGGTTGCAGGTTCTTTGTGTTCACTGTCTTAATGGCACCTAGACACTGCAGTATGATGCCTGAATAATCTGAATATGTCATATGGAGTCAGGGGGTACAGAGACAATTTCACAGCCCTCTCACGAGATGTGACAGTGAAGTTGTCTCCTGTCTGCCACTCTGCACCGCCTCCAGTCCAGGCCATGGCAGGACAGAGCCCGAAATCTAACATGAACTGCATTTGTCAGAGAGAACCTTCAACGAAAATCTCAACCTTGAGCAGCTTCTGGATTCCTCAGAATTCTCCTTTATACTTAAATCCTTCGAATATCTTCTGTCTTCAACTGTATTGTTGTTATTATTATTACTATATCATTGTATTATTTTTGTATACTAGAAAAATTTGCTGCCTTGAAGTTTTAGAAGACAGCTATATGGCCCAGCTATATTTGAACATCATACAGTATTTTTGTACGTAGTTTTGCATTGCACAGTTACTCTTGCAAATTTTTCTATTACAAACTGCTGAAGTTATTGCAGCAAAACAAGTGGTATGCCACAGGCACCGGGTCTGACTGTATATTTATAGAGTGGTACAAGTCAGGGCCAACTCAAAGCAGAGATGTTCTGAATACGAATAACAGAAAGCAGTAGAAGCTTTCATATTCAACAGAATCAGTCTATCTGCAAAAGAAAATACCCATTCCATATAATTGTTTCCTGAAACAAAAAATTGATTTGGTATCTAAGTGTAGAGCTTGCATGGTATTTCACAAGAAGAGACAGTGCAATAATCTTTTTTTGAGGAAAATGGTTTTCTGAAAGCAAGGCATATACATAATGCCCCCTAATAAGAGATGAATCTCATTTAAAAGAACTGAGCAGATGATCTCATTCCATTTTTAAAAGCACTGAGCTCTGTGTGATTGGCAGGATTGCATTAATAATTTATCCGTCATTGGGATATGTTGATTTCTGCCTTTTCTGGGAGTCTGAATCACAAATGATTGCTCATTTTGACAATATTGAAAAAGATTGGAGAAGTAAAGCTGGAGGGAGGAAATATGCTGACAGAATGTGCACTAATTCTGTTGGCCAGCCTGGTTGCTGGCTATCAAATATGGTTTTTCTACATTAGTGAGAATCCTTCCATGAGGAAAACATCATCTCTAGAAGCAGTTCACAGTGGTTGCTGAAAACTCCCAGTTTTGCTCATTGTATAGATGTGGCATAAAATAAACCCTAAAATATGCAACTGGGCTTTGTTTGGTTTATTATAGTATCAAAAAGCTTCAACACTTGAGCTCTTGCTGTAGTTCCTGACACAGCAAAGTAGGACAATCAAAACTGATGCATGAAAGAAGGCTCTTTGTGCTTGACTTCCCTGTTTTATGCATGCCATGGGATATATCTATTTATTGAACTCGTTTCATTAGGGATCAAGTGTTTTGCAGAAGAGTTCAACTTTTAATATAAGAGTGATTACTTTCTATGCTCAATGAAATTCAGCAGTTTTGAAAGTATATGTAGTTCCTGTACTGTATTATACACATTTTAGCTATTTTCTTTAATGCTAAAATGCAGATTGTGCATTGAAAAATTCATCTCTTCATCCACACATATATAGAAAAAGCTACTCAGACTTTAAGAGCAACAGTGGTTAGCTTTGGAGCTGTATAAAAAAAATTCAATCAATGTTCATAAACCTTTACTTATGGTATCATCAGCACAAGAATCAATTTGAATTGCTCAGAGGTTTCACACACTTCTGTTTTTTCAACAGAACTGTATCGGTTGTAACTACTGTGCCTCTTCCAAACTACAGCTTTTGAAAGCCCAACTCTATGTCTGTATGATGCTGTGCCTTAGTAAGAACCTATGTTTAGTATATTTGGTTACAAGGAAAGAAATCAGTGTTTCTTTTTTCAAATTCTAACGCTGAAGGAATGCTGTCAGGAAAGATCTATAATAACCGTATCACTAGAAATGAGGTTTAGATAGAAGGATCTCTCAAAAAGCACCGTGTACGATTTTTATCTTGCTCATATCCTCTTTTTTTAATTTATTTTTTCTTTTACTTTTTTCCCCAGTTTTCAATGGATATGAACCAGCTGGTCCTTGGGACAGCCTTTCCCAGCAGTAAAAAACTGTGGAAATGCCAGCCTCAGCTCTACTTTCTATCAACAGAACACTGAAAGGTACGCATTTAAAGCTCTCTTATCTCCTGCTTCATCAGCCCTGCTGCAGTTCCTCCCAGTGCCATCGGCTTTCTGCGGTTGCTGCTCACGTTTCCCTCAGGATCTGCAAGCACCCAGGCATGGTGAACAGACAGGAAGGTCTGTTGTTGGCAGCACCTGGCTTCTTGGCTTCTGGTCACAGAAGTACGTGGTAAACCCCCATTGTGAGTCTTGTCAGCTTGACAGAAATGAGAACGCCCCATCTGGCTGCACGTGCAGCCGTTCAGGCACAATGAGGTGTGCGTGCGTTTCTGCAGCAAACACATTGCCTACATGACTTCAAAGCTCTGGCGAGGAACGATTTACATGACCTCAGGGTTGTGGGATCCTGATGGGATCCTTTCAGTCAGCCTCTCTCCAGCTTACTGTGTAAGCGCTTCTGAAGATAATGCATTTTCAAATGAGCTTAAAGGAGGAGGGGCTGATTTCCTTGGATTCCTAAGCAAATCCCATTTATAAGCTTTTACAGTACTAAGATATAATGTGTTCTACTTTATTTTTTCCTCCAGAAACAGAGAAGCTTTTGTTTACTGAAAATAGACTTCAAAAGCGCAGTGTTTTACATTTTTACCTTGTTCTTAACAGCCATGCATCTTTCAGCTTGTTATTAAGTACAGATATTGATTTGAATTAGCATCTGTGGAAGCACTGGGTGAATAGATTGAGCGGATAATCCTTTTACATTCCATCAGATCGTAGAGTTACTGTAATGTTATTTCGTGTTAGGAAGGTGTAAGGCTTTAGTATGCATGTGTGTATGTCTGAGTGTAAAGCAACATGCAATGGTGAGAAACTGGAGCATCCTACTGATCACTTCTTGAGCTATCGCCAAGGCTTTTGGTGTGATTGTGAGGAAATTAGAAAGATCTGAATCTTTAAAATTTGAATTTCAACACAGACCTACATCCTATAAGAAATAAATGAATAAAACCACAAGATAAATACAAAAGATATAATTCTAAAGAAATTTCTATGCAGAACTGTCATTCTTGCTACAGGGCAACTATGGGATCAAGGAGTTTTCCTAGCAGAAATGGACATATCTGGCCTTACCTTATTTTTGTCTTCAATGTCGTGTCTTTGGTCTGCAGTATGAATGCCCCTGTATATTTGTACATTTTACTGATCATTTTTAATACAGAAGCCAAGAATCAGCGCAACAAGCACCAGAAGTATCTGGAGAAAATAACAGCGTGCTTAAATTACTGACATTGATTATTATCTCGCTTTCAAATTAGTTCTGTCGAATAAATCTCATCAGGAAGGGCCAAGATATAAGTACACTGAACTCAAAGTCTGTTCTGCAATGATAAGCTGTAGACTAATAATCACTCGCAGATGTCTTTTTTCCATGATTACCACATCAGGAAAGAAGTAAAAAATATCATATGTCCATGAAAATTCTTTGGTTCATCAGCTTTCTTCCTTTTTCTTTCCAGTATCTGGTGTTGTAATATGGATCCAGCAGAACACAATGAATTTTGCTATGAGCTTGGATGCAATGTAAATAATTTAAACACAAATCTTGAACTTTTCCTGCGAGCAAGACATGATGCAGCCTAGGTAAATGATGAGAATCAGTCCACAGTATAATCTGTATACAATATTTATAAATGGATGTGTATTTTGTAGTGTGTTTTGATTTACTTCAGTTTAATTTTCATTTATTTGCTCAGCGTACAAATTTCAGATTACAAATTATTTAGGGTTTTTAGTGATTCACATTTTATTATCCAGAACTGAAAACCTGAAAGACAAGAACAATGAAAAAACAGCAAAACATCTTTGTTTTAAGTGATAGAGCAAGGGAATGATGAGTCGTAACAGAACTATAAGTGTTGATTTTCCAGATCAGATGGGATCAATTGATGCTACTGTGCTTTTGAAACAGAACACGTAATGAGTGTAAGCAAGTTTTTAATTCTTCTTGATGTTGGCTTAGCATAATTTCCCTACTTTAAAGTGAAGAAAGGAGCATATATTCCATACTGAGTTAACAAGCCTCAACTGTAGGTGTACTCATTATTACTACTACTTTTAGAGAGGCAATTATATTGACTGTAAAACATTCCGTAGATTTCACTGATTACATTTGAAGTAGCAGGTCATGACACAAATTAATGACCTCTGTGGAGAGTGATCATTAAAAATTGTCTTCTTTAGTCTTTCTCTAAGGCTTTTCAAGTTTGTGTAAACAATAATTACAGCTCAGAACCTGATACCGTGCTTACATTGAGTAACACCTTCCCACAGTGAAGCAGTGGGATTGCTTATGCTGTATAGCAGGGGTTAGAATGTATTCTGTGGGTTCTATCTGAGCCTGAACTGCTTCAATGATTTGAAAAGTCAGTAGAAAATATTTACAGTCTGTAAGCAATTATTCAATCAACCCATCCTCATACTTTTAGTAAATGAATACTTTATATTACTTGAATCCAGATCTGTATGTTAAAGACACGCTGGCTTTATTCCACATGCTCATTTTTTCCACTCACCTTTTTTGAACCTACTTAACCATTTTACTTCTCAATTTATCACAGGCATGAAATTGTGGTTTGTTTGAAGAATGATTGTTTTTTGTTTAATATTATGCTTCAGAACTTCAAAGAATGCATGACATGAAAAATTCTTACATTTCACAGTGCCAAAAGAGGCATAAAATCAGTCATCTGGGGAGCTGCAAGGGCTGCAAGCAGACTTCTTGAGTTCAGAGAGAGCCCTGGTGTCTGCAGCTCCAGGTATCTGCAGCAGTCCAACTGCATATTTGCAAGGCATTGCTGCAAGTTCATAAGAACTTAAAAAAAAAAAAAAAAGAAAGATTACAAAATGGTATCCAGATGAGATTATTTAGCATTACAAGTCCTTATGTAGCTGTTAGGATAATCACTTATTTGCTAAATAGAGTGCAACAGCTCCTTGGGAGCCATTCCAGTCTATCAGGTAAATCTGTAATTAGTATCCAGTTGATCTGAAGCATGGTGCTGTCATTATATTGACACAGACATACACAATGGAAAACACAACTTCCTGGGCACAGTAGGCAGTTCGCAGACTCTTAATAACTCAGGCATTTTATTTTTTTTAAAGTGTAGTGATTTTTGTTTCTAAGTTAAAAAATTAAACAAATCTTCTACAGCATTTTTAATTTTCATTTAAGCAGAAAAAGAATTAGACATAATTTTTTGCCATGATTTCTAAGTTCTGAAAATAGTCTGATAAATTTTTTAAAAGAGCTGAGAAACTGTTTTTTTTGTAAAGCAAATCCGTTGTGTGGTGCCAGTAAGCAGATAGCAGAATCATGGAGGAAGGCTGGCAGTTGTTTTTGCACGGAGCAAGAAAAGAAATCTGGATTTAATGTAGCCATGTGGAATCTCTTTTATTTTGTTTCATAATTTAGTTATTGATTTGGGAAAAGCTTACACCTTCTATAGCAAATGGAGGTCCTTTACTTTTGCATATAGCTTTAAGATATATAGCAATTGCTAATAACAAAGGAAATGAAATAATGTGTCAACTTGCATATACTATACTAGCATCATTTTCAATAATGAGTAATTACATTTCGGGAGGATTTGGCTGTATAAATGAAATTCAGGCATAAAGGCGTTGTGAATTTTTTATGGAAAGGAGCAGATGCATAAATCTGTTAGCTGGGGTAACCTCCCCCTCAGTTACCAACTATATTGTATTTGCAAGTCATTCAATATTCTTGTGAATAGTTTCTAAACTTTCATTATTATCTTGCATGTCTTTTTCTTATGTTGACTAGAGGTTTGTGATATGAAAAGCAAAGCTCAGAGGACTGATGTGTGTTGTCTGATGCTTCAAAAGCTGATACTGTCAACAGACTCAATTACAGGAAAATGGATTGCTTTTGTCAGATTCTTCCAGGGCCTCAGCATTCCACACTGCAAGCATAAGACAGGTTTCTTACTGGGCCAACATTAGTACCAAACTATTCTCGTTCCCACGTCATGTTTGAAAAGAGTGAATGCTATGTGGAGCATTTCAACCTGATACATTTTCAAACAGAAATACAAAAGCTGTGGGCCATTACGTATGATAGAGTTGATTGATTTTAGCGTTTAGTCACAGTCAGTGGGAAAAATTGTCTTAAAAATAAGCCACATCTTGTATGCTGGTGCACCTCGTGTAAGTAAAATCAGAAATATGAGTGCTTATTGAATAAGAATTTAAGAGAAGTCTTGTGACGAATGCAGTAGACTGGAACTGAGAAAAACCACATAAATAATCATGCTTTCAGTTTATTTGTAGGATGCAGAATAATAGGGGCAAGAGAATAACACTAAATTCCAATTATGAAAATTCTGAAATGAAACAGATTTGAGACAGCCAAGTATGTTTATTTTTTTTCCCAGTAAAAAAAGAAAAATTTAACTGAAGCATTTGATGACATCTTGTACACTCAGTCTCTGGCTTTTTCACCAGTCATAACTTCCTTTTATTGTAGTTCCACATCTATAATATGTATTGAAAAAATAAAAAGCAGAAGCCTTGTACAAGAGCAGAGGCTCTTCCTTGTGCAGTAGAGATAAAACAGCCACAAGAGGTGGAATTTGACCTGTATAGGAGCGTGGGGCTGTACGTTTAGTGACTGTGACATGACTGGGAATCTTTTTAAATGATTGGTATTGGTGCTGAACAGGTTCAGAGAAGAGAAAGTCTTTGAGAAACAGAAATCGTCTTCCAACATGATGAAATGCATTGCTAGCAAAGCCCTCGGGTTAATTGTTCACCCCAAATCTTTCCAGATGAGTGTTTGTTCATAAACTTTAATTTTCATAGAAGATTTAGCTTTAGCCTAAGAAAGCTGGGAACAGAAATAAATTTTGCTAAACTGTATGGTGCACAAATATACATGTAATTGCAGTGAGAAATTAATGGAGGAGACCAGAAACTGGAAATCAGACTATGCAAAGCATTCACAGA